TGCATTCTTGAATTGAACATACAAGGCAGTACGGACCCGAATATCAGTGTTTAGTAGACGGTTCTTGGAAAGAAAGTGATCGTTTTTCTAGATTAGGATGGTTTTGTTCTTATCCGAATGATGGAACGCAAGACATGGGAGCTGCAAATCTTAGAAGAAGCTTAACCTCACTACATATAGAGGTCTAAGCATTAATTTGGACGATGAGATGTATGATCGGCCAAGACAACCGAGGAGTAGCTTTTCTTATAGACTGCTCCGACCTGGTGAAGATGGTGTCTTCCCCGCAAGAGTGGCCATCGTTCGCAACATATTTAGAGGCGATTCAGAGTGACAAAGAAGAGTTTGATTTATTTTATTTATCTTTTGTTTCTCGAAATGCGAATGTGAAGGCGGATAAACTGACACGAACTATTCGTACTCAGCCGCATCTTACTACCTATATAAATAATATTCTTCAACATTGGCTTATCTGAGTCAATCTAATATAGTTGTTGACAAAAAAAAAAAAAAAAAAAAAAAACAATATTGTTCGTAATATTGCTTTAATGTTGTTTTATAGTTTTATAAAAAAAAATTATGATTTTAATTTATTATTATCATAATGATGACTATAATACAAAATACAAAATTGTTTTGAATTTGAATTTTAAGTTTTCTTTTGGAAAAAACATCTTTCAGTCTCAAATTTGAGGTTCGACATACTTCGAAAATAAAATCCATTCTGGAGATGCTCTAAATGATTTTAATCCGACGTATTTCTAAATGATTTTATTTTATTATTTAGAAAATGATAAGATATATATATATATATAGCGAACAAAGAGTATATAACAAGTCCACTATAATCATAATATCATTCCTTTAGTACTTACAAATATGAAATAATTAAAAAGTGTTACTTGTTTTCTTAACATATAGAAAAACATAACACGACTTATTCTTAATCACCCCCTTAATACAATAATATGTAGTAACACAGTTTCTTTTAGTTAATCACATGACAACTCTTCCTGATCTCACCATTAAAACCAGTAAGAGGCTGAATGTTCCCCATGTTTACCATCGACTTCGCAAATTGGTGGAAGAAAAGTCTCTCGTCTTCTGCGTAAGCTTTCACTAGTGCACCAGTCCTGCCTACGTTGCCAGTGAGAAGCACTTCATCTGAAGTCAATAAGCCTTTTCCCCATAGAAGGAGCTTGAAGTATGTGTTGTCGAATCGAGAAGGAGAGGCTAAGTCTAGAGGTGAAATGTTGTTGTCACCGCCCGTTGGTGGACAAATCGACCTGAGACCATAGTAGTAAGACCTCTCTAGCGTCTCGTCTGGTTGGTTGTTACCGTTTTGATTGTATAGCCTTTGTTTGAACGTTGTGCACCTCGCTACTCCAATCGTATGTCCCCCTGCAAAATTTTGGTTCGGTTTTGATCAGTACAAAAAAATATTGTTATCATTCGGTTTCGGTTTGGTTTCCATGTCAACCACTATGACAAAAGAAAAATAATGTTATTAAGATCACCTGATAGGGAAACAAGGTCTTCTTCGTTCAAACCTTGGCGTTGGAACAAGGTTAAGAGATTCTGAATAGTGGAGTTAGGTGCAGGAATGTTTGTGTTTGCGCCATTAAGGCTCGCTGTCCTCGAGTCTCTCCTCCCTAGTGGAAGCTCCCATGATGGTCCACCGCTCTGTATTGAACCACAAAGTCAGAAAATATAAGCTATATAACTTGTAAGTGAGCCAATAGTTTCTCTTTGAAAGTCTCTTAAATTTACCAGTATAGTTGAGCCACGAGCAGCAAGAGCTAGAATGTCGGCGCAGGAGACAGTTTGAGGGCAAGCTTGCTCAAGTTTGGCTTTGATCTCGTCGATTACTTGAAACCCTCTAATAGAGTTCTTGTTTGGTCCCGCATTCTTTTCACTTCTTATTGTAGCACTATCATCCAACAAGATTGATGCATCACAGCCCTGTTTTACACAACAGAGTGTTTAAGTATTAAGCTTATGAGAAACATAAAAGGGAAACAAAAATAGGTAAGATTTTACCTGAACGAAGCAGTCGTGGAAGTGAAGCCTGAGTAAAGATGCTGCCATTCTTGGTTCTTTAGCTATGGCTTTTTCGAGCACCGTCATGACAATCTCATCAGCTTGTGGGCAAGAGAACTGGTAAAACTGTGGGTAAAGATTTGAAGAAAAAGATCCTCCAATGGGATTATTACTTCCCCATCCAAATCCTAGACCTGGATGAGCAACACCAACATCAAAAGAGAACAAAGCAAAGAGCACAAGAGTAGGAATAAGCTTTGAGATAGCCATTTTCATAACTTGAGAGTGTGTGAGATGAGATATTAGTAAAACGGTGAGGGTTTTTATACTTGAAGAGATTCATCAAAAGCTAACTGCTCCCAGTTTACCAAATCCGAATTTAGAATGTTAAGATAATGAGAGAGACATAGTCAACTTGTCCTTATTATACCTCCTCTTTGTCTTTTTAGAAGTCTTTGTACCAACTCCAAGAACGAATCCATGTGCCTAACTTCACATGTGATCCCAACAAAACCGCCTTGTACCATTGTTAGGTAAAGCTTCTCAACCATAAGCATCTGCACTGTCTAACTTCGTGTTCTATGAGAGTTGAACTTTGAAAATGATGAGTGAACTGCTACTTTGAGAAAACAACTCTTACCAAATAAAGATTTTCTTCATTTCTTATTTACAAAATTAGACACTTAGCAAGTTATATCCACTCTCAATCTATATCTTTTGGTCACAAAACAAGACCAGAGCAATGCAAATGTAGATTGGTTCAATGCTACAAATTATTTAGTTATGCTTTGACCAAGTATCTCAAAGGTCAAGTGTTCTGATTTCATTGCTTCAAGATGATTTAACCATATAAACTGCTTTAAACAAACATTAAAAGAAAATGTTAAAAGTCCAGAACCGATGGTTTTAAGTGTTTTTAAACGACACAGTTTTGTGTCTCGTATAGATAATAACACTGTTTTGTTCAAAGCTTTAAACTTAAGAAAGAACTACAAAAACTAATATTCTGTTACTTTTAAGAGACTGCCTAACTCGTCCAAAATAAGCCATGATGTTGAGAATCTGATAGCTGCAAACCAAACTAAGTGTATTGCCAGCAATCAAAAACCACCATCATGGTTTGTATAATCACTCACTCTTCTTGGATCCATCGGTTCCATAAGTGGGATTCGAGGTTTCAGATGATGAAGCTAAACTAGAGCTGTTAGCAGAGGTATCTGATGATGTCTCTGTAATTCCAGCTGAGTACTTTTTGATTCTCAATGAAATCAGAACACTTGACAGTATCCCAAGTACTGGGAAAACATAACCCCAGATCTGACTTTTCTGTTTTCCAGCTACTGAAGCCACAGCCATACCAGCGAGGCTGCCAACTGATGCGTTCTGCAAGATCATCGGGAGACAGCCAATAACCGTGGGGAACAGAAAATCAGCTACAAACCGAACTTCTGTTGCTGCCAAAGCGTAGTTTATGACATACGAAGGAATGGGCGAGAACCTTGCAAGAAGAACAAACTTCCAACCATCTCGCTCGACTCCTCTTGAGAGAATATTGAAGTACTTGTTTCTATGTGCCCACCCTGTAGCTCTGGTGGAACTCTTAAAAACAAACCTGAAAATATAAAAACGTATGAGAGAATGGAAAGTACTCCCAATTGATAGATAAATAAAAAAACTGCATATCACATTGCTACGGTTAATTAACATCCTAGTTGCATTCTCCTACATATATTAATTGGCAAATAGAATCACTGCATGCATTTAATGGTTCGTTCTTACATATCCAACACATACACAAGACAACAACCAATCTCACCCACATACCATTATAGAACATGAAAACATGAATCTTCTCCGCCTTTTTGGCGAGAAACGGTGTTATTTTTCCTCTGAATAGCCAAAAATGACATCATTTCTTTATACAAAGATCCATTTCCTCTCATGCTTCAATTGAATGGATTTTAAAGAATTGTTCTCCATAACGTTTCAGTGATAAAGCATTACAGGACAATCTAAACCAAGTAACCAACACGAGATTATTCTACATCAACAAGTAAAAGCTTTAAGCTCAAAAATCGATAACATAAACTAAATCAGAGAGTGTTACTAATAAAGCATATAGTTTCTCCGAAGCCATAATAATCCATTTGAGAATCCTTCATCTAAATCCAAATCATTTCGATCAAATTCATACACAATTAACACAAACAAGCGATCCAAAAGCTCAATTTGAATCATATAACAAAGAAATGAATTCAAAAGTGACAGATTCATAAACAGACCTGCCGATCCAAAAGGAGAAAGAAGCGGCGAGAACTTTAGCAGAGAAAACACAGAGAAGAGCAGGAAGGAAACCAAAGAGCATAGAAGCACCAGCTTCAAAAAAGACGGCGTGAGGGAGACAAAGAGCTAAGGTTACGGTGTGTACCGCTACATACGTCGGAATCGCCCAAATCCCGAGCCGATCTGACCATTCCTTTAGCTTTTCCAACGCCGACTCTTTGTTCCATCCGTATTGAGTCGTGCCTTGTCTCACGACTATTGCAATTATCGCCACCGTCGCGGCGATTGCTAACCATTTCTTCATCACGGAGCTTTGAGATCAGAAGAGAACGTGAAAGGGACTGGTTTTTGGTAATTGTCGCTAGTGGATTTTAAAAAAGGTTAAATTGCAAAATGAAACCTCAAACTTTCAATGTTTTGTAGATATATCCTTGATCTGCTAAAATTGCAAGATGGGACTTAACTCACTAGAAACTCCACAATATAAGACCATGTACATAGCTAATTTTTTTTAGAGTTTCAGTAGCCCATATAATATTTTTTAATGGACCAAACACATAAAATGGGTCTGATCCATATCAGTCCATTGAGACTTCTGATACCCAGTATCATGTTACGTGGCAGGACGTGATTGGTAGCGGAAATTGTTTTCCCGAAAGAAGAAGAAAAAAAAAATCATTTTGTTTCTCTCGATTTTTTCTCTCCTCTCTCTCACGGCGATTTGCCGATTTCTTCTCTTCTCAGCTCCGCCCATTTTGGAAACTCTTTGATGGAAGCGTCTCTCTGATCCATGAAGTTACCAAGCGGAGAGTAATAGGCGATTAGAGCTAGGGATTTGGCGGTGGCGGATGAGAGGGGTTTGGGAATTTGGGGAAGTTTGCGAATTTGGGAATTTGGACTCGGCTTGGTTGTTGGTTGGAGGAGAGGGAGATTAGGGGTTTGGAAGAAGCCATAATCGAATTAGCAGATTGTTCTCGTGTTTTTGATGGATCTTCTTCAACTTCAGCTACTTTATTAGCAGCTCCCAAGAGTACAGAGACTTCTGTATCTCAGGTTAGTCAATTAGCAAGATTTTCTCTATTTGATTCTATTCCTTTGACTCGAAGAGTGGACAATCAATCTGAAGAATCTAGTCCAAGAACCACCAATGGTATATAAACCACTCACTAGTCACTAGTCACTACTTTTTCCTGCTTCTTATTGTTCATTATTTGGTTTTGTTTTGTTGTAGGGAATGTTACATTAATGTTGAAGAAAGACAGAAGCATGTAGATCATTATACAAAGGTCTTTTTTTTTTATGTTATAATCCTTCTGGATCCATTTGTTTTGTATTGAATTGTGCAATTCATACTTTTCTCTTTTTATGTTCATAAAAGGCTCAAGAATTTAGTGGCTCTTTGGCTTCAGTTAACCTGCACGCTCAAGCAACATCATTTGCACGATTATCTGAGACGGATAATGGAGGAAGTATCTTTTGCAACCCAATGGAGTGCCTTAGGAAGTGTTTTAATTGCCTTAGGAAGTGCTGGAATTTCTGGGACTAGAAATGGAGGAAGTATCTTTTGCAACCCAATGGAGCTTCCATTAATTGCTCATTTAGTACAAAGAAGGATCCTCTCTTACTGTCTATCCAGCAGTTAACCGATGCTCGTCTCATATATAGTGTATCTGCAGCATTGGGTCATATGATGAGACCTCTCTTCATTTTTGTATCTTCACTGAAGCATCTTAAGATCTAACCCGGTCTCATGATGAGACAAAAGTTGCAAATGAAGTCCAAGAAGCAGCTTGATCAAGTAATATTTCTGTTTCGGAGGAAGTCACCAAAAGAGGAGGCGAATGACACAGCCTCAGTTGTTACAGATGGAAAGCATTCAGTTTCTACTGAGGTTGCTGTTTTTCCTCGCCTCTGTTACTTGAGAGGATAGATACATGGCATTGCATATTGTTTTTAGGACTTGACCTCCTTTCCATTGCAATATTGATGTTCATGTAGCCTTTATTGTGTATCGTCTTAACTTATCCTTATAATATCCATTTTTCATCATCATGTTATCTTTGTTATGAACGGCATGCCATGATCGCAACATTACTCACAGAGATATAAAACCCGGCGCATCATCGACTTTGGCAGTGCATTTGATGAGTATACAATGAAACATTTATATGGGTCAACAGGTCCATCAAGATACGACATGTGGGGTGTTGGGGTTGTGATGTTAGAGATGATTTTAGGATCACCCAATGTTTTTGAGATTAGTTCTGTTACACGTGCCCTTTTGGATCAACATATCAGAGGTGTTGAAAAGAATTTGTTACATATTCAAATGTGCATATGGTGGAAAATGCAGGTTTCCAAATGTTTGGGCGTTAAGGAGGACAGAGTAACCGTAGATGAGGCTATGCAGCTACTGTGGATTATGTAGGAACAAGGTTGGAACGACCAAGGGAAGATTTTGTAGAAAAAAATATCTTTGTTCATTGAAAAGGAAAAATGAACAAAGAAATCAACAAAAGTTGAAAATATAATTCTTTACTATATATTGCAAATGGTTTATACTTTTGTAATTCTAAGTTTTTATATATTTATTTTTGATTTTGCAAATAATTTTTTTTTTATGATACTTAAACCGGTATCACCAATGGAAACACATTTATAGTAGTATCATAAAAAATTTCAAACAATAAACAAACATTAAAATTAATACTAAAAAATTGTTAATGATACTCATAAAATATCACCTATGTGCATGCTCTAACTATCTCTTTACAAAGCATTAAATATCCACTCTCTCCCTACCTATTTGTCTTAGTTCTCACGGCTCCTCTTATCCTAAAACATCAGATCTGAATCTCTCTCATCTGATGTTCGCGGATGATGTAATGATATTTTTCGATGGAGGAAGCACTTCTTTACACGGTATAAATGAAACTCTCGATGACTTTGGGGGATGGTCTGGCCTGAACATGAACAGAGAAAAAACTGAGCTATTCCTTGTCAGTGTGGAGGAGACCGAAGCTGCAACAATATCTCACTATGGTTTTCCTCTTGCGTCTCTGCCTATTAGGTACTTGGGACTTCCTCTCATGTGTCGCAAGCTTAAGATCTCTGAGTATGCCCCTCTCGTGGAGAAAGTGAAGAAGAGACTTTCATGTTGGGCTGCAAAGACGTTATCCTTTGCAGGAAGGCTGCAATTGATTGCTTCAGTTATTAATGGAATTGTGGTTTTCTGGATGTCAACTTTTGACTTACCAAAAGGCTGCATTCGGGAAATTGAATCTCTCTGCTCTCGTTTCCTTTGGTCTGGTGGGATTGATAATTGCCATAAGGCTAAAGTGGCTTGGTCTACTGTTTGTTTCCCCAAGTCTGAGGGCGGGTTGGGTTTAAGAAGATTCTCTGAATGGAACACCGCTCTTAGGCTAAAATTCATATGGCTTCTCTTCTCCAATAGTGGATCTCTATGGGTGGCTTGACAAAGATTTCACCACTTCTCAGGTACTGGTTCTGGCTCCATCTCTGAGTTCTGGTCTATGCATGAAAAAGCTAGTGATACCTGGAATTGGAGATGTCTCTTGCGTCTGAGACCTTTGGCAGAAAAATTCTTAAAGTGCTATATTGGAAATGGACGGCAACCTTTTGGAGAGACTCCTGGTCTCCTTTTGGCCCTTTATTTAGCTTTCTGGGTGCTAATGGACCAAGAAACTTGAGGATACCTATTGATGCTGTCGTGGCTGAAGCTGTTGAGGGAAATACTTGGATTTTGGCTTCTCAACGGTCTCAGTCTGCTTTGGACCTGCAGATTTTTTAAACCACCATTAACCTTCCTCTGCAGCTTGATAAAGAAGATTCTTCTACTTGGACTGTGAATAATGTGGAGTGTATTGGCTTTTCTTCCTCTTTGACCTGGGATGCTCTTAGGCGTCGTGAAGAGGAAAAGAGTCGGGCTTCTGCGATTTGGTTTAAAGGCGCCACTCCAAGAAACTCTTTTCATATGTGGGTCTCGTACTTGGACAGATTGCCTACTAGGTCTAGATTGCTCTCCTGAGGAATGCAGGTTTGATCACCTCTTTGCTGCTTGTGTGACTCTGCTGTTGAGACCAGAGACCATCTTCTCCTCTCTTGCACTTTTAGTAGGGTCATTTGGGTTTTAGTTCAGACAAGAATGAGACTTCATCCACCGGGAGGGGTTCATGTCTTGGACCAAGGCACGCACCAACTCATCTCCTTCTACCCTTAGAAAGGTTTTTGCCCAGGCTACTATCTATGCCATTTGGAAGCAGAGAAACAATAAACTTCACAATCTTGAAGTCATCCCACTAAATGTCATATTCAAAGCTATCGATCGTGAGGTGATCAACACCATCAACGCCCGAAGAAATCGCAGAAAATTCAGAGACTTGATGCGTCACTGGATTAATTGAAGAAACCATCTGAAAGTCCTTTGCTTCCTTGTTTTTTATTTTATTTTTTGCAAAGGAACCAAGAATCTAGGTAACCAACATGTAAATCCAAACTCTTTTCATTTTATATGATATTAAATCACTTAGCAAAAAAAAAAAGCATTAAATATCGACTTACAAGAAAATATTATCAGAAGTGAGACTTTACAATCACCAATTGTAACCAATAAAACTTGAAAATTACTAATTTTAATTAAGCTTGAGTAACATAGCTTTTGCATGATCTTCATGAAGAGAAGACATGGCTGAGATTTCGTGAAAGCCATAAAGACATAAAACTAAACTATTCCTTTGTTATATAACTAATTATTTGTTTCAGATTCTTGATATAGTAAAATAAGCTATAACAAGATTTTAATCCGCGGTACACCGCGGGGATATATTTTTAAAAAAAATGTAATGTTATTTTTAAAAAAATTAACTGAAGATATATAATATTAGTTTGTATTTTGAAATGTAGATATCTATCTATGTATTATTTAGTGTATGATTACTATTGTTTAGGTTTCAATTTTTGATGTATAGTTACGAAAACATACATTTTTTAAGTAACGATGTATGGTCAATTTTAAAATTTTGAATATTTTACTCCGCGGTATACGGTGGGTCGATTTTTTTATAACTAAATTTTTTAAATTTTAAGTTGTATTTGTTTTGTTAATATTGTATGTTTTTTTTTTTCTTTTTAAGGTTGTATAATTATATTTTTATTGTTAATTTTAGGATTTCATCTGTGATATATCATTCTTTATTAATATCGACCCAAACCCGTCATTCCATATAAACTCATCTATATTATCCCGTTAGCTAAATTATTAGTGTTATAAAATCCAAAAAAATCAATTATTATTGTTATAAAATCCAATAATTTTAGGATCTCACCCATGGTATAGTGTTCCTTAAATGATTTTAAATTCATACTACTAATATATATTTTAAATTTATCATATGAATTATATGATTTTTCTATGTGAATATTTTGATTATTATAAATTAGTAGTTTTATTGTTATGCAAAATGTTAATATGAATATTTGCTATAAATCGATTTTAAGCATATTTTGTGGAGTAAAATTCACGGAATTCTTTTTTTGAAGATATATTGAAAGATTGTGTAGAGATTTTTAGAAACAAATTAGGCAAAATTTCGTTTGGTTAATATCCTTTATTTAAATTTTGTAAAACTAAATAATAAATGTCAATGGCATGGACTCGTAAATAAGGTGAAACTCTAAGATTTATTTGCACTTAAAAAAAACATACTTATAGACATATATTTCCCAATTGTATTTTTTGTGTCAAAGGGAAGTGAATAGATGATTAAATGCCAATGACATTCCTTGTAAAATACTTAGCAACTCCAGGATTTATTTGCTACGTGTACTCCAAAAATGTATATATAGATTGTAGCTTAATAGTATATATTAAAAAATATTTAGATTTTTTTTGAAACTGATTATTTTGTATTTCATATTATGCAAAGTAAATTAAACTTAAATACAAAACTAGGATAACAGATTTATTTTACTTTGCAATATCAAATTTTGATTTTATCAATTGAAAAAGTTACATAATAAAACAAATTTGAAAGTAGTTATAGAAATAATTTTTCTTTTACGATAAAAGAAAACTGAAAAGAAATGTTGTGACATATTCATGTAGTGTGTTAGAAATAGTGGGAGAAGAGCAAACCTAGGTGAATGATGGGATAAGAGAAACATACAACGAGAATTTATGAACAAAAAACACACATTTAGTAAAACAATAACCTCATGACATATTTTAAGAGAAAAATTTGAAGTTTGTGACACTGAGATTGTAGTTAAGATCTCCAAGAAAATGAATGATTTTTTTTTCATTTCAACTGAAAGAACAACTCAAGCGAGGTATTCCTATAGTTAGAGTTTTAATTTTTATATATATATATAATGGGATAGTTGTAAAGAGTTTGGATATCATATAAACTACCTATATTATAGTTCCCAACTCTGGTAATCCAATACCGGTGCACAGCATATGACCCATTACAACTACCCCAATGAGCTCCCCTTCCAAATTTACCAAAGGACAACCTTTGCTACCATCACTTAACACACAATCAGTTTGAATGAAAACAGTTTCTTCTCTAGAGATTTCTGGTAATCCCAAATATATATATATATATATATATTAATTGAGCTAATTATCTCATTTTCTTTAATATGAATTTCATTCCTATATTTTTGGTAGCATTAATGATACTGGTGGTTAAAAATATAATTAACCGTTGAAAATAACATAAGTCGACCAGCAATGCCAAGAGGGAACAAGCATACTAAGACACGCCTCGTACCAACTCTCTTATTTCTAGTTTGATTATCTCCAACATTCTTTGATTTATTCATTTTAGTCTATGATTGCGAATAGCAAGTTGTAGGCAACACAAAAAGGTGGTGATGGATGTTGCTTTGAACTGTCAGACATTGATAATACAAATCGGTTTTAAGCATATTTTGTGGAGTAAAATTCACGGAATTCTTTTTTTGAAGATATATTGAAAGATTGTGTAGAGATTTTTAGAAACAAATTAGGCAAAATTTCGTTTGGTTAA